CATAGTTTTGAAAGTTTTTTGAGAAGGGAAATAACATCCTTCTAATCTTTGGAGTTCTAGAGCATTGAACTAAAACCCTACTTAAATTGCAATGACTAGTCCAAGGACATCAGATAATTCTCTTAAATCCTTAGCTGCTGGGGTTAGTTTCCAGTGTCACCCACCTACTACTTCACTCACTCTTTGAGAAGGCCAGTGGAGGAAGGAGCAAGTAGCCAGCTTTGCCTGTTGGTATCTTCAACACATCCAGTGATTCTTATAGCAGCAGTTTCCCAGGCTAGATCCCAGGTTCAGATAGTGGCCTCCCTTTTTTAGGACATGTTATTATGAGTTTTAAGAACTGTAATCTTGAAAATCCTTATGATTCCAGGAGCTTCTCTGGTAATTTGCTTGTCTTTAATAGCTGAAAAATGAAAAGAGTTTAACATAGAATTGTTGCTCCAAAAAAACAAGAACCTGAAGATATAAATACAATAGGTTGAAAAACACTAGTGTGAACAAAACGAGTCTTTTGCAAAAGCTCCGTGTGCTTGATGAACAAGGACTGCTAATTACATGACTGTCAGTGATACTTTCTGGCACGGTCTAACGCCAGCTTCTTTCGGTACAACAAATATGAAAATGCCTAGAAGTAAATCACATTTGCTGAGTGCTGTGGGCAAACAAACCCATGCCTTATCTCTTTCAAAGGCAGCCATGGAAAATACATGATAAATTGCACAGTTCAGTGAACATGTTATGTCATTGTGAAATGATTTTGATTCATGGTTATGTATTTATTGCTAAACAACTGACAAACCTCAAGGTATCAGAAATATCATTCAGGGGGTTTTGCTATTTTCTCTTGCAAAATTCAAGTGCTATGAAGTGTTTTTCTTTTTTATTTAAAATACTTTATTGAAAGTGATATTTGCCACAGTCTTTGGAAATAATTTTTTAAATTATATGAATTCCTGCCAGAAGTGTCAAAGAGCTGTGCTAGTCACTAATATTTTTATCATAATGAATAATTCATATTTTTGCTAATATCCTTTTATGAAAATTTTATAGCTAAAAATAGACAAAGTTGTAAGCCAGTTTGATTTCAGAATAGGATTATAATCTCGTTTCATATAGCTTATCAATATAATGAAATTTTTGAATGTTTTCTGTGCAATAGCAGTAGAATTAAGAGTGAGAGAATTATATTAAAGAAGATATTACAGAAGTGGCTTTTATGCAAACATAATTCCTTTCCCATGGTCAACATATCTTACTATACTCTATCCATTGCTGACCCTCTTCAGTTTAAAGTATTAAATAATTAAACCATTTTCTACTTGAAACTTACAGTTATTTTTTACTAATTTTTCTTTCAATTGGTGCTTTTGGCATCAGCACTTGATGTTTACAACCTTTTCTTCTAGTGTTAAAAGCAGCAGGAAAGGTAACCTGTCAACACACAATATGCACGAGGCATATCGTAAGCACTTAATAAATGTTAGCTATTCATCAACAGATGTACTCTCACTTTGTGTCTTGTTTTTCTAAATCTCGTAAACCAAGAACCACTGTTTCTCAACTGGTGGTTTTGTTTTGTTTGTGTTGTTTTGTTGTAATCATGAAATTCTTCTTTTCTGAGTTTTATAATCAAGTATTTTAACGTGGCTTTGTATATTTTGAGTAGTGCCGTTGAGCTCTTACAAATAAAATAACAAAGAAAACCTTGCCTGATGGTAGAAATGATAAATTATTTCTTAGGTATATTAAAAGGGATTTGGGTATTTCTAATATATCGCCATCATTTAAACCTAAATTCATTTTATTTTCCTTTAGTATATTTTAACCAATTGACCTTTACATATACTTTGCATTTATTAAATTAGGATAAATTTTAGTAGCCTAGAAATACGATTCAAAACATTCATAGTGTTTTTCTTTTAGCCTTGGAATATGACAAGCCTATTCTCTAAATATTTACATCATTGGAGAATATCTATGTACTTATGCTGATTCTGGCTTAACATTTTCAAAAATAAGTCTGTTAAATTAAATGTAAGCTTTAAAGGGGAAAACCATAGATCTTGTAACTTGATACAAGTATTGCAACATTGCTTATAGCATTTTCTTGGAAGATTTTTATGCCCTTCTACTACCATGGCTACTTTCACCTTTATGTTCAAAATTCCCAAAATGTATCTGTATGAGGATAATTTTAAAACGTGAGATTTATGCTGCTATAAAGGAGAAATCCTTTATAACAACATAAATCCGTTGTCACCAGAAATTTCAGTCTAAGTTTTACATGAAAGGGAACATATTTTATCTTTAATGCCTCATTAAACTTTCTGGAAATGGCAATATTCTAAAATATTCTAGGTGGATGACTACGTATGTCTGTATTCCTTCTGAAAAATTCAAACATCAGTAAAAAAAAAAAGACTAAACAAATCATTTGTTCTAATAATTAAAGTAGTGGTATTTTCTCTTCCATTTAATTTTGCCTTTATGTATAGATGTTACTTTAAGTCAACCATGTCTCGCCTGCACTTTTTGAGTGAAATAGCCAAAACCACCATTCCTCAGCCAAATGATGTTCCTATCGTTTCAAAGGTGACCTTGTATTTAAACCTTAATTCTCTGTGTGTTTTTGTTCACATGTGTGTGCCTGGATTGTGTATGTTCACACACATGTGCTTGCACGTGTGTTTATGTTTGTGTGTGTGGGTGCATGATTTTTTTGTACATTCACAATATGATAAACTGCATTGTGTTGCTAAGAACATGGACTCAGGAAGCAGCCTGAGTATAAATCCCAGCCCTGCTACTTCCTAGTTGTGTGAATTTGAGCAAGTTCTTTTAACTTCTTGCTTTCATGTTCTCATCTTACAGGGTTGTTGTAAGATTTAAATAAGTTAATATATGTAAAGCATTTTGAATACCTAATCCATAGTATTTAATAACATATTAGCATTACCGTTATAATCATTATCATATATTCATTTACTTTATTTCTAAAGTCATATTATTTATACAAATGCATTGGTGGGTGATTATTACATATGTATTTCACTGAAATGGTATTAAAGGTGTGCCTTGCTGTATGTCAGTTATAGCTCAATAAAACTGGAAAAAAAAATTTTAAAGATATGTCAACGGACTATTTTGGATTGTGATAATTTGATTAGATAAACTGTTATCATTGGTGAGAGGAAACAGTTGCGAAAAAGCAACAGAAATTGCATAACTTGGTGGCTCACAGACGACATATCAAATATCAAATATACTAAATTGCATTCAGGGACTTCCCCTGGTGGTTCAGTGGTTAAGACTTCGCCTTCCAATGCAGGGCGTGTGGGTTTGATCCCTGGTCAGGGAGCTAATATCCCACATACCTCGTGGCCAAAACACCAAAACAGTTTCATTGTCACAAATTCAAAAAAGGCTTTAAAAATGGTCCACATCAAAAGAAATCCTTAAAAAAAATGCATTCGTTTGTTCAAATGTAGGCCTGTTGCACATCTACAGTGTGCCAGGATTTCGTGTTAAAATGACATATGGTACCATAGGATCCAGCAGCAATCATGCTCCTTAATATTCACCCAAAGGAGTCGAGAGTTCATGTCCACGCAATGTTTATAGCAGCTTTATTCATCATTGCCAAAATTTGGAAGCAGTCAAGATGTCCTTCAGTAGCTGAATGGATAACTAAACTGTGGTACATCCAGACAACGGAATGTTATGGAGCACTAAAAATGAATGAGCTATCAAACAATGAAAAGACATGGAGGAACATTAAATGCATATTTTTAAGTGAAATAAGTCAACCTGAAAAAGCTGAGTACAGTATGATTTCAACTATATGACATTCTGGAAAAGGCAAAACTACAGGGACAGTAAAAAGATAGTACAGATGAACCTATTTGCAGGGCAGGAATAGAAACGCAGACGTAGAGAACGGACTTGTGGACATGGGAGGAAGGGGAGGGTGGGGTGAATTGGGAGATTAGGTTTGACATAAACACATTACCATGTGTGAAATAGATGGCTAGTGGGAACCTGCTGTATAGCACAGGGAGCTCAGCTCCGTGCTCTGTGATGCCCTAGATGGGTGGGATGGGGGAAGGGGGAGGGAGGTCCGAGGGAGGGAAGGGATATATGGATACATAGAGCTGATTCACTTCATTGTGCAGCAGAAACTAACACAACATCGTAAAGCAATTATACTCCAATTAAAAAAAAGACACGGAGGAACATTAAATGCATATTTTTAAGTGAAATAATTCAATCTGAAAAAGCTAAATACTATATGATTTCAACTATACGACATTCTGGGAAAAGCAAAACTATGGGGACAGTCAAAAGATCAGTGGTTTCCAGGGGTTGGGGGTGGGACGAGGGATGAATAGGCAGAACACAAAGGATTTTTAGGGCAGGAAAACTACTCTATATGATACTGTAATGAAAAATACATGTCATTATACATTTGACAAGCCCATAGAATGTACAACACCAGGAGTGAACTCTAATGTAAACTATGTATTCCGGGTGGTAGAGATGTGTCAGTGTTGGTTCCTCAGCTTGTACACAAGTGCTACTCTGGTGGGGATGTTAATGATAGGGGAGGCTGTGCATGCATGGGGGCAGTGGGTTTATGGAAAATCTCCGTAGCTTCCTCTTAATTTTGCTGTAAACCTAAGACTTCTTTAAAAAATAAAATCTATTAGGGAAAAAAAAAACAAGATAAAAATAGAACAAAGCAATGAGTACTTTTCAGAAATTGCAAAAATATGTGCTAATATGTAATGCCCCAAGAAAAATGTCTTCTAAATGTAAACGACCATTACAAAAAACTACATATTACTGCAATAAAATATTCAACTGAACTATTAAAAACTGAGAAATGGTGTGCCTTCAACTACTAGGAATAAACATTTTAGCTGCCTGAAGCATAGTAGGAAAAAAGTAATATAGCAGTGTCATGTAAACTGTGCAAATTTAGAATGGGTTTTCTTTTTCAGGGAGCACCCAAACCAATAGCCATTGAACCATGTGCTGGGAACAGAGCGGCAGTTCTGACTGTGTTTCTCTGTCTACCACGAGGATCATCAGGTGCCCCTCCCCCAGGGCAGTCAGGTAAGATGAATGAGGCACCATCAGCAGTTAAGCAAAACATGCAGATGGAACAGAAGAAGTAAACAATACTACCAGATAGCACAATAAAGACATTTACAAGGTTCTGATTTACAGCATGGTAACATTTTATTAGAATACAAACTTCTACCCAAATATCTAGATATCTGCCTTGCTATAAATTCAGATTTGCAAGTGTTTCTCCTAAAAAATACGTGTTGAATATATGTGTGTATTTGTGTATAACATAACACATGTATGTACGTACGGACACACTTCAATTTTTTGTTGTCATTGCAATGAGTAATCTCACTAGCAGGGCAAAGTGACCCTTTTGGGCAGCTTCTTTTCTCCCAGTATGTGTGTCATATGGGATGCCAAATTAGAAATACGATTAGAAGCTTGTTTCATAAATATGGAATCTAATTAGGGAACTTACTTACATGTTTGGAATGTTTTGCGGCATCGGAGGATAAAAGCTTGCTGCAACCATCCTGGAATATTGAAGATAAGTTCTTGCTGTCAGCACCGGACAGGTGTGGTTCATGGACCCAAGGACCCTCTCCTTCACTTGAGCACAGCCAGCCTTTTCCTCTGATTCTCCTTTTCCTGCATAAAAAGTATATTTTGAATTCGAGGTAACTCTGTATCCTCTTAGAGATCTTCTCATTGCTTCGACAGTTGTCCACATTGTAAACATGCCCCGTGTTGAGTATAACTTGTAACTAAATCACAAACCATGCTTATTTCTCTCTTTGTGCATATCCTCTTCCATCTGCTTACAATTTCTGATTATTCTTTCTCCCGATTGTTTTCTTTAAAGGACTCTCGGTGAAACGGATGCTTTTTGAGGGTCAGGGTGATTTCAAATCTTTCTCTTCAGTTCCCCTTAAGGATAAAATAATGTGCCAGAGATCTGGCAGGTTCTCAACAGTAGTTGATGATAAACTCAGCTCCCTGCTTAGTTTTCTTTCCTTAGTTCCCTAGTTAGCTTTGACCTTGCTCCTCACTTTCTTGATTTGTGTCCAACGAGACACAAAAATGGAAGCCACACTACTTTATACCTTATAAATTTTAAGATATTTATGTAACAGAATTTTTCCCATACAGGGACAGAGGAATTCCATCACCTTTAGACTTGTCATTTATGGTACCGGATGATATCTTGTTGCAGGAGTTTCTACCCAAAGTTCATTTGTAGATGTTTATTCAGTGAAACAAACCTTCTCATATGTTGAGCCAATGCCTTACTTTTCTCCTTTCAGAACAACCAAGGTAAATGGGATGCAGTAAATAGAATAGCTTGGCACTGGTCAGATAAGATGGATAATTGTAGGTACTGTGCCCAGCTAATGGAAGTATTGTTTCAAAGCTGGGATGATTTCCAATACAAACACTTTACTAATGAAAACAAGTCTGTGTGATATACACCAAGGTTCTTCTAGATCCTTGACAAGATGATGTACTGATGGGCAGAGTGAAGGCAACTGCCAATACGCTGTCCCTTTAACCTTTGAAATCTTCTTGACTGATTTGAAAAAGCCAAATAGCAGTGTGGACCGTTACCTCAGCTGTATTTTATTACAGATGCACTGCCATTACTAATGGTAATGGTAAATTAGACGTGCACAGTGTTTTACTCTTCACAAAGTATTTTCCTATTTTTCACATTTGATCCTTACGACAAGCCTGTGCCATAGGTATTATAAAACTCACTTTATAAATGAGAGACTTGGTGTATATAAATCTCTGTATTTCTATACTCAAGGAATTATTGGAAAAACATTACAGTAAAGAGAAAAGCAACAACAAAAAAATACTTATTACTAACATTCCAGGTAATTTTTCCTGATGATCTATAGCAGAGAGCTTACTTCTCTATAATCTACAGCCTATGTCTTCACAAAGCCAAACATTTGGAGGAGTACTGAAAATGTCCCCAGGGTTCACACAAGTAGGCAAAACCTTGAGTTCATTCACAACACTTTTTGCGGTGACTGTAGATCGAACTATGTTGAATATCTGTGTGAATAATTCAGGATGAGTTTGTTCTTTGTTTAAAAAAAACTAATAAAATTTCTCTAGCTAACTTTATAGGAGTAGGAAGAGGAAGAGTCATTGATTCTACTCCTTCAAAGTAAAGCATTGTCTTCTGTCTGCAGTCTACTTTGAAATGCATCAAGGACATAATGTTATTGATGGATGGATAGTAGGATGAGTAGAAGGACAGATATGTCATAAAGCAAGTAAAGCAAATGTTAATGGTAGAATCTAGGTGATGGCAATACTGGAGTCCATTTTAAAATTCTTTCCACTTTGCTGTATGTTTGAAATTCTTTATGGTAAGATGTGGGAAACAATAAAAGTTTTTGAAAACTCTTGACTTTACTGGGGGAAAGTAAAGGCAGTGCCTATAGAGAGGAATTTTCTAATGCTCACATCTATGTTTTCCCTAAACAAGGCAAATGCTGACACCAGTATACAAATGAAATGGCTTATTTTTTCACTTTTCATCAAGATATTTGGTGTGTACCCAGTCAATTAAAACTTAACATAGTATCATCCAATATTTGAGAGGAAATGCCTTCCAGTGATAGTTTGGGAACCATATTGGTTCTCGGGAGGGAAATATTGACATTGGTTATCTCATTGCTAGAGTTTGGCTTATCTCATATCTTTACAGGAAGTCCATCTGTGTGCCTATGCTTATCACAGTGCCCTGTGTTTAGAAAGCAGTTCATAAATGTTCTTGATGATTATGATAATGATAGGAGACCTGGGAAACATGACCTTGAGCAACCACTTCTGTCTATGAGACTCAGTGAACAACAATAAAATGAGCAATTGAACTAGAATCCATTCATTGATTCTCAAATTGCACAGCTAGGAGCCTTATGTGCTGAAGAGCCTCCTCCAGCGGTGGTGCAGGGTTAGAGGTTAGGGAAGTTAAGAAGGAGGTACTGGGCTTCCCTGGTGGCTCAGAGAGTCCGCCTGCCGATGCGGGGGACACGGGTTCGTGCCCCAGTCCGGGAGGATCCCACGTGCCGTGGAGCGGCTGGGCCCGTGAGCCATGGCCGCTGAGCCTGCGCGTCCGGAGCCTGTGCTCCACAGCGGGAGAGGCCACAACAGTGAGAGGCCCGCGTACCGCAAAAAATAAAAATAAAAAAAGAAGGCGGTAGTGGAGTAGCTTCAGGGACAGACCCCTGACCCCATCCCCACTGTGTGAAGGACAGGGCGCCCAGAGTCTTCTCTTGGCTCTTGGGCTATTTATGTCTCCTAATGTGAGTGTATCTATTCAATGAGGAATAAGCATTAATTATTAGATTAGAAGTTCTCTTGCAATACTTTGCACAGTTTCTAATTTTTTTTATCAGGCCCTTTTTTGAAATGTAGCTTCCTAAATGTCGAGTGATGCTGTTCATAATGCACTCTTCACTACTATGAATAAAAGCATTTAAGAGAAGGATGAGTTTGGGGGTATAGAGAAGATGGAAGCATCCCATGAGCATGGTGGTTTTCTCTCAGAACCTGAATGCCAGCACTAACAAATAAGTGATTCGGAAACAAGCAGGGGCTAGTTCTGGCCATCTCTTTTAAGTAGCAAGTAGTGGGGTTTTTTTTAATTCAAAATATGGCATTGTCTTTGGACTTTATTCTCTTTCTACCAGCATATATTTCAGTAATATTTAGCAAGTAATAATTAGACATGGCCCTTTAATGTCTGTCTAAAATGTGTGAAGTTCCCTTCCATGGCTCTCATCTTAGCAGAGGTCGAAAGAGAAACTGCAGATTCATCCTTTAGATTACCCCATGCAGTAATCTTTCCCTTCTTCTTCTTCTTCTTTTTTTTTTTTTTTCCATGTAATGAATTTAGATGTTTATGAGCAATTCTCCCTCTAGGTAGCTTAGGAGAGTAAAAGCAAAAAATATTAAATAGGCTTTTTGGCACTCCTGGAGCTGGGCTAATTAGGTTCCCTGCTCCCCAGCCCTGTAAACCTGCTGCTTCATTCCTGTATTTTCTGTGAGCAACCACTGCCAGCAATGCCAGACTGTCTTGGGCTAAAGTGGGATTTCTGCTGTTGATATATGTACACAGCCACTTCTCTTCTGCCTCAAAGTGGTTGGAAGACTGATGTCCTCGTAAAAACAGGGCATATCAAGTAACCCTGCTGCGTGTCTCCAATCACCTTGGACAGCAAGGTCCCCAAGCATTTTAGAGTCACATTAAGATGAAATGTGAACAAAGTAAATAGAGCTCTTCAAAAGCATAAATTGAAAATGATCATGATTGTGTCACTTTGTGATGAAGGATTATGGATTTCATAGTTTATGGATTCTTAGGAATACGAAGCGGATTAACTTTTCTCACTGGATTAAAAATCCGGAGGCCCAAATGTCCACTGCCAAAAGGGAGATAAGTGCTTCACCTAAATGTAGAACTTTGCCCTGATCTTGCCTTGTGTTTGGCAAAAAACCAAACCAAAACAAACAGAAACTGCTGGAAAGTCTAAGATTTTGAAACTTTTTTCTTTAGGTTTAGAAGTTTTGGCAGGATGACCAGATTATTTTGAAAAATCTAGAAATATTGTACGATGTTTAAAAACGATAGTCTACCCACAGTGTCATGGGTAATAATAATGACAAAAAGAGAACTTTGGTTTAGTCAGATGAAAAGAGGAAAACAAGAACTAGTAATTCTGAGCACTGAAGCAGGTTCTTTACATGCACTAATGCTTTTAACCCTCTTAAGGAACCTGAAAAGTAGCTATAATTATCCCACTTTTACAGATTAAAAAAAAAATCTGGAAACTCAAGAGAGATTAAATGACTTGTCCGAGGACCAATACAGCCAGTGAGTGAGTGAACCAGAATTCAAATTCAGGGCCATCTAGATCCTCAGGCTGTGAGACTCTCCCTCATCGCTGTGCTTCTCTGGATAAAGATACAGGGGTACTCGGGATAGCCCATATTCCAGAAAAAGCTTTACATTCAGATCAAAGAGG